CCTTATACACAACAATACGAGGACATGTATTGTGTATAAGGTAAATTGTACGTCACTTGGTGGTCACCGAGAACGTGTCGGGGAGGTTAAAATACCCTTTTGAAGCCATTTTCTGTGCGCTACAGTCAACGAATCTTGCATTGACCATCGAGCCTTACAGGTCAATATCTGTTTTCGAGTCTGATTGATAAATGCTTTTCCTACTATAAGTAATGGAACCTTTCCAACTGCCTTTGTTAGCTGTTTTAGTTGAAACGATGTACATAAGAAACCTACATGCAGACAGATCAATGTGTATGGTTACTGCTGTAGCTAGATTTCTTGCGTGTATATAATATATAAAGTGTGTATGTAGGTATAGCTATTTTTTGACATCAAAAAGGTCTCCTGCTCGAACCTCGGACAAGTACTTTTTGCGGGTCCTTAAAACTGATAATGATGATATTTATGAATTGCAACATGAATCTTTCTTATAAATTGAGAGTATATACTTGCCTGAAATTCAAGCTCTCGACGACTAGCTACTCTGAAAACTCTGGGACTCTCGTGCAGTGAAATGAAAAACCGAGGACACGCCAACCAAACTTGGAAATATTGTTCTTTAAGACGAAACAAAGTGGCAACCTAAAACTTGAGATCTCATTTCAACGTGAATTTTTACAATCGAGTCACTTAAAAGTTCATCTTGCAACATAACATGGACCCTTACGGCGAACCGGTAAATCTTCCTCGTTGATGGCGAGTAATACCTTGTAAAACTATTAAGAATAGCGACACAGTAATAATGTCAACACAAAAAATTTTATTTAGCCCGTTACGGTAACTGTGTAAATACAACATCTTTCAAAAGTACATACAACTGAGTACGTATATCATCGTAAAGCAAACAAAACAGTTCAATCACCTGAGCTCCTAGCATATACATTATATACTTTTATGTATACATATGGGTATCTATTTGATGCATGTGCAAAGATGTGATGACAATCGTACCTTACCAAACAGTTGCATAGCTCGGTATATAATATAATTATACCCAGCTGACATTTTTACGCACGCGATGTCCATTAATGGATAACCTGGTGATTATAATCAATTTTCTTTTGGTGAAAATAATAATAACAATAACAACAACAACAATAATAATAATAGTAATGATAATAGTTGTTTATATGATTTGCCTACTTGCACTGATGTAAAAGTGATAGCTTCGTGAGATCGAACGAAAGATAAACATTGGGATTTAACTTATAAGTAGGACGCACAAAAATATCTCGAAAATATCGCTATATTACGGTCTCGCTGCCGGAATTTGTCTGCTAGTTTCAGCTTCGTGAAAAATACTACGATGCATGTATCACGATGATAGAATGGTTGATGCAACAACGTGTGAGGTTGGCTTTCATATCGTAGTATGTATAACGTAACAAAGTATAACGGGTATAATTATTTGGATTTGCACAAATGAATTCTAACCCCCCCCCCCCCCGCCCTATCCCTGCGAGCTGACTGCACTTTGGCCAACTTTGCTTGTCTGCCGAAGCGAAACACGAGTAGAAAAGCTTGCGCTATATAGCTCTTCCTTGTAATAGTCGGAAATTATTCAAGCGAACAAGCGACGCTGCCGCCTCCAGCGCCATATCTCTCTCTCTCTCTCTTTCTGCATCTCCAGCCCAACTTTACTTATACCAACCCGACTTTCCCCCTCCCCCATCTTCCCGCTTCTTCCATAGCATCATCCACGTCGCGTGCCTATGCTCTCACCCTCGTTCGCTCACTCGCCTATACCATCTCTTTATCCTTCTTTTTTCCACTATAGTCAGATAATATGTATACATGTATAGGCATACTTTTATTTCGTTTTTGCGCACATTTTTCTCGCTACCTACAGATTTTTTCGCTTGGCTTTAATCCTCTCTGGAAATTTCGAGGCACCAGTATTAAAACAAAATAATAAAACGTGGCTGTACGGCGGAAATGCGCTGTACTCACCGGGTGGAAGTTGTTACCGTTCAACTCGAGTGAGTTGTAGATATTTTTTTTTGGTTTTCTCCATTTATAGTTTTAAAGCTCGTATAAAGCTACGGCGTAATAAAATGGAATAAATGCTCGGATTTTATCAAAGGTCGTACATTTGTTTTCAAGTTCATCATAATTTGAAGAAAGATACGACTTGCTCGAATATCTCAAGTTTCATCAAAACCTTACATGTATTTATCATCATCAGCATGATAATTTATTTTACATTTTTTTTCCTCCGAGCCACCTGATATACATGTATCGCGAGTGGTGGCTTCCGTTTAACACGTAAGACAGTGACATGATAATTAATAGTATGTTTTAGGGATGGATGCCAAGAATCGGGTATCAATATCGTTTGACGAGATACTAATGAATAGGTAGGTACCTACTTAAGTAATGTAAACGTCAGGCCGGGCATTGTAAGTCTGTCAGTGTCAAACTTTCAACTTTGTAATTGGCGAAATAAGGTAGCAAAGAGAGGTCCCATGTATCTATACGTATCATCACCGCTATCATGCCGACGTGTGTATCCACGTACCATACAGGTACGAGCCTTAACGCGTGCGCTTTTAAAATAACTCTTTTCCGCTCGACTAGTTGCACAGAGACAGAGACAACATATAAAAGTCCCGAGCACAGTAACCAAGTCGAGTCAATCAATCAATGTGTCCGACTGCCCACGAACACCCCTCTGATCACCCATAATTTATCCTCTCTCTCTCTCGTGCAGCGTTTTTCTTCTCCATAAAGTATCTCCTGGGCACCTACAGCGTGGCTCGGGATTCTCGCGCTAGTCGTCCCGCGTACCCACAACAATATACTCAGCGGGGATTCCCCGCTCACTATCCAACCGTGCCGCGCTATTTTCTAGTGTACACACATGTATGATTATGTATGGGTACTCAGCCCGTGCATGTATGAACAACGAGGACGACAGCAGTGCAGTTGGAAAGGCATTGCCGAGTTTCAAGTGCACGCGAGGTACGTCAAGCTTAACTTGAAATTGAGTTGTGATCTACTTGGCTAAAGTTATAGTGCCTCTATAATGCACGCTCGTAATGAGAAATCCATTAGAAGACGACAACGACGACGGAAGGCCCTTCCGTCAAAAATTCGACGTTGCGTGCATCTGAACGGTCTGTTGTTGTGACAATCCAAGACGAATTTGTCGTGTTCAATCGATGGGGTTTTAATATAATTTTTTTTTTTTTCATCACACTACCTGTTATTATTATATCTCTTTGAGTATGAATACAATTTATTCGTGAACTATAAAAGTTGCCGCTTTTTTTTCTGTGCACCGTTAAAGTAACATAGCAAAGGGGAAAAAAAAAAATACACACGGAGGATTCACCAAGGGAGTAATGGGGTGGTAGAGAACAACAGCCGTCAGGGACGTTTAATTAATAGTTTGGTAAAAGCTAAACTACATCCTAGTTGGACACGAGCCTCGAGTAATCGAATTAAATCCAGTGCGCGCATTAGCAAAGCGAGCCTGTCATGGGACTGGCTGTAGCTATACTGGAAGCTATACTCCACGCACGCTTCTGGGATTACACGAGCTTCGAAAATGAAGCAGTAGCTATAGGTATGTTATTTATATATACGGTCAAACAACACACGAGTCAAGCTCACCCGCGATTTCTCGCTTTCAATTTACGTGTGTTTCTGCACTACGGCGAGGTTGCTACGAATGATTTTTTTTTTCACGCCTAATATTGTTACTTGTTAATTGTGTGTGTGTGACATACGGAAGGTCTACATAAGTCAATTCTTATGTCTCTTTTTAGATTCGATAAAATAGCAATAGATGCTAGCAAATGAAAATGGTTTTTTTTCTATGTATAAAAAGTTGCTTGCTTACTAAAAGCGTAGTCCTCAAAAACTCCTTGTCACTCTTAAAGTTTGAGTTGGCATTGAAATTTAAAAAGTCACTCCAACTAAATTAATTCGAATTGACAATGATTTTAAGTTTAAATAGCTAATTAATGAAGTAATCGTTTTCCTCGGTTTTCCTTCGGTCTTAAAAAAATAAGTATGTCGCATTGCTCTGACAATGGTAAACGTGCCCGAAGCTTTGCATGTTTCTTATGTGGAGGAAAAAAAGAAAAAAAAATTATGAACGTGCTTTTGACGTACACGGTTGTACAAGGAGGAGTTTGTCGATTTTCATATAATTTTTTACAGATCTTTGGAGAAAAAGTGGTCTAACTGACTCGATCATAAAAACAAACTGTATGTTAGCGCCACACCGAGGCGACTGCGCGCTGTTGACAAATGGCGCTTAATCGATTTTCCTGCCCAAGGCAGGGCTCCAAGCTCTCTGCAGCCTCTGCGGGGTTTTCTCGAGCCATCCTGCAAAATTTCCAAACCTCTAGAAATTACGCGACGAATTGTATGATTAAACGAAAATACTTGTCGATTTTACTATCGGTATTTTCTCTAGAAGTAGAGGTAGCTCTGTACAAGTAAATTCTTTGACCGCACGAGCGGAGCTCGTACAAAATCTTTCAAAACCTAAAGTTTGAGGATGTTTAGTCGGCTCACGACTAATTCGTGATCTTGTCAACTCTTAAAGGAGCCCTGGGGTTTTTAAATATTTTAATAAACATAGTTATTGAGATTGGTCAAACAAACTCTAAAAAATACATTCATGAATATTTATTATTTTCTAGAGTCAGGAGGTAATAATAACACAATATCGTAAAACAAGAAAATTTTATTTAGGCAAGTATAAACATATTTTCATGCTGAACGAAATGAGTGTCAAAGTACAGCAGAGCCCCTAAATGATACCAATGTGCATTGGTGATTAATGCGAGTTATTTTTTGAATAGCATCAATTTAAATATTTTATTTCATCCGTTGACGTAGATATACTAATAATAATAATAATAATTAAAAATAATAATAATAATAATAATAATGAGTGTGATAAGACACGAAATTGATCGGACAAACTTGTACGGTTGTTGCAGAAGGCCGCGTGCTCGAGCTACACTCACCGGATGGCGTTCACGAGTGCTGGCTAAGAGCCACCGATACGGCTGAGGCCAATGTCTGGTTCAACGCGCTACACTCTGCCCTCGCTGCGCTCACCCTCAAAGCACTCCGACTAGCATCTGCTCTACACGATCCCCCACAGCTTCAGCATATCGGGTGGCTCGCCAGGAGACACTGCGCACAGGTGAGCTTAATGAATATTACTAATTTTGCTATAATTTATTCTCCTGCATCGGTAAGCTTATTCCAAGACGTGAGAAAAAAAACCGTTTTTTTCCTTTAATAACATTTGACACACGCAACATTTTACTACCACAAGTGTATGTATACAAGTAGTTTTTAAAAAAATAAGGACATTATAACTCTGGCAGGTGTACTCGTTAACAATACTACTGTTATTACTCTGATTCATTTATCGATTGAAACTTTTTGTAAGTTGTAACATAAAAGCAAATGTTTTTAATATAGGTGTAAGCTTAATACAAGATCCTGATGAGACCTACTCGAGATACCTGAGAGTAAGAAAATGTAAAAGATTTTTTTTTTCTTTTTTTTTACATTAAAGTGTACTGACCCCAAGGAGGTATGTACACTATTTTTATTCAGAGAAAAAAATAAAATTTTTACATGTAGAAAAATTATGACACGTTACATATAGATAACAAATATAAATACGTGATGTAATGAGGGTTTGTTATGGTATTTAATTAAACATTCTTACAATATGTCTGGTTTGTAACAGTAGCCAAACAGCTAGGTATTCCCGCAATAAATTGCACAAGTGAGCCAAATCCCAGACTTAATGTGCTACGTAGCAATATACTTCACTGGAATTTGACGTGATACAAAAATATTATATGCTTAAGACCAACGATCACACGCCGTAGTGCAGGTAAAGTATAGCAAACAAGCTGTTCTTGTAAATACAGAGTAGGTAAAAGAAAGGAGAGAGAAAGAGAGGAGAACTAACGCCAATCTATACAGGATTTCCTAGGAAACCGGGCATAATGTCAAGACGGCTATCTGACGGGCTAACACCGCGCGTGCACCTAAAGCCTAAAGGCCAATCCTGCCCGTCGTACCTGGGAATCTCCTAATTATCCTGGTGTGCAAATACGGGCCAGCGAGAGACACCTACGACCTGCGCAGCCCGCGGGTGTTGGATGACTGGTAGGTCTGCAATCAGGTGCACTAATGCCAATCAATTATGTGCCGGCCGCGTCACCTCAGCGCCAACCTTTATCGGTATGCATCTACGCGCACGCCTCCGTCCGTCCATCCAGGGCTGCGTGCACCGGCTGAACATCATCTCGAGCGGTTATCGATTTATTGCTCTCCATATACCTACTCCCTGTCCCTCACTCCGCCTCCCATGTGCTCGTCACTGCGTAGCTATACCTATACTTGTGGAGAAGCACATGAAACTTCTTTCTGCACGTTGTCGTTGTTATCGCTGCGTATGGGTGCGTCTGACGAAACGTCGAGGGCTACTACTGCCGAACGTGAACGAACGACCGGGACCGACTTAAAGGCAATAATTTCTTTTATTCGTGCGTTTATTTTATCAATCATTTCTCGGGTAAATAAATACAGCAATCAATAAGATACCACCATTTTTACTACCTACCAAATTCCAATAATCTAAAAGTGTTATTTAAATCGTTGATTTTTGTTCTCATGTGACTCCTTCAGTTTAATATCGTGTTAGACATACGTTATTCACTTATTATTTCTTCCATTTCTTTTCAAGTTTTGTTTAATGTCATTCATCGGTTTCTTTCTGTTGTGGGTATAAACATGTACTTATAAATTTTTTTTTTTTTTTTTTTTTCTTTTCTTTTTTTGTACCTATACTTTGGCAGAGTCGGCACGCGCTTTCTGCCGTCCAACGGAAAAAAGGTATAAGTGACATTTTTGTTGAAAATGAGTTATTTATACCAATCGATTCGTCAGAAAATTCTGTGTCTAATAGCATATTTACAAATTAAATATCTTATAACGTGATTTAGTAACAATTTAACGAAAATTGAAAAAATTGCTAGTAATTTTCGTCAGCGATCAAAAAAAAAGGGTAGGTGACACAAAATGTGGAAATCGTGCCAAGCAGACATCGTACGTGCACTTACCCTTTTTTGCGTTGTAAAGTCAATGTAGCATCGCCTTCGATTCCAAAGTAGAAAAAGCCCCATGAAATAAGCTGTATTTTTGCAAATACCCTTTTTTACGAGGAAATTGCGCCGAGTTAGAAGAGTAAGTAGAGATTTTCATAGTTCCCATCGAAAAATCGGTTTTCTTATGCGGAAAATAGAATAATTATATCATATTTATATTCAAAACAATTCATGCAAAGATACCCGGTAAAATGATAAACCCTTCGAAATTTTGAAATTTCTACAAAACCGGTCAAACCAGAGCTCTGTTGAATCAGAATTATTAATCAAGGGAACCCTGATATTGAAGTGATCGAACAATCATGCAAACGGAATGTATGCCATACAGAAAAAAAAAATCTGTTTTCATCATTTTAAGTGGATGACCTTCAGTTATTTTGTTGTTCGCATATTACAAAACTTTTTTCTACGTAAGGAAAATATATCGCTGTAGACAATCAAAGTGAGCGTCGCTTACTGATTAATAAAAAAGTATGGCAGGGTCGACGCTGTGAAATCTTTATGTATTTTTTGGTAAAATACTTTTCGGGATAGTTACGTTTTACTTCTTGTATAAAATTAAGTTTTTTAAATCATGTAAATATGCATACTTGCGTGTTTCTTGTTGATTTTGCAGTGATCAATGTAAGGAAAAAAAAAAAAAAGTGTAACCAAAGTGTTGGTACAAAAGAACCGGAAAAAGCCAAGTTGGTAAGAAAAGAGCCATCGAAAGAGAGAAAAAAATAAGGCAAACAGAGAATCGATATGCAAATTTTTGGCCTTTTCGGCTGTCTATGGTAATGAATGTCCTTGCAAAATCTCGCGTTTACTACGAGAAAAGGGGGAAAAGAAAGAATAGTGGAGGGGGGAGGATTAAAACCGCATAATTCTGAATTGGATTGCGTCCGAGCCTGAGGTACAAATGACCGAGGACTGTGGGACGACGTATTTCACTGCAGCTTTATTATAAGTTACTCATGTTTATTTTATCTAATCTTTATGGTCCGTAGTTAATATGACAGTTTGTCATTCAATAGAGCGCTCTTGTGGTTACTTGGTGGCTATATAGCAGTTAAGCACGCCCGTAAATGTGATTACAAGCGTGTATATGGGCACGGGGGAAAAGAAAAAGTTTTTTAAAAAGCTCTTTACAGTAAAATGGGTCCAAATTGTACGTACGTAAAAGGTTTCCGAGCTATAACGATTCACTTGGTGGTACAGTTGCTTGGGCCATCCCACGAAAGGGACGATCGACGTGAAAAAATTCCCGTGAATAAACCTGCAGGTCCATAGACGCTCGTACGCGAAGTTTGTGTGTGTGTGTGTGTGTGTGTGTGTGTGTGTGTGTGTGCGCGACACTGGTGTACAAGTACACATATACGTGCTTCTCGTTGAGCTGTTCACACCGTTGTGCCACTGCTGGCCAAACGGGGCTCAGCGGACTGAAAAGCTCGAGGCGCGCGTGAAAAAAGTATGTTTTTACCCATTACTTACTTTATAACTCAATAAATCCGAAGACATCACTCAAAGACTTACATCACTACTTAAAATTCGCTTATCTTTCCCCTTAAGCACCCGCTGAGCAGAACAAGTTGCCAAATTTACGAAAAAGCCTAAGAGAATGCGTATTCCCATCACTAGAGCATAAAGTATAATATTACATCATACGCCATAATGTTTGGCGAGATGTTTGGTATACACAAAAATGGGTACTTTTTTTTTATAGCCGTAAAACCGTTTTAACCATTTTAAAAAATCAATAAAAATTTTTTTACAGCATTAGAATGACGTTAGAGAATGAAAAATAATGTTTTTTTTTTTCAATTTACAAATTTTGTTTGGAAGGTTTTTTTGTAAAACGACAATACTTATTTTTATAAGACGAGTGTCCGTAATCATCAGTTATTCCTTATTTATTATTATTACTATTATTAATATTATTATCATGATTTTTATTATCATCATCGTATACAACATATACATATATACCTACCTACCTCACATAATATGGGCACATTCAAAGCACTGGGCCCGGCCTATAGACTTCCCTTACTGTGAAATTCCATTCGAATTTTAACGTGGAATGCTACGGCTGGCAGACTGCGCACGCGAGCATGCATATAGAGATGGTGAGGTGGTAGATCTCCGAATTACGTAGATACGAGCTTACCGAACATTTGTGGTTACAGGTTTAAAATATAGTGGAGGTAGGAATTGAGAATCTTTAGGATTCAATAGGTGGATAATGCGTGTGTGTGCATGCGTACGTGCGTGTGTCTGTGTGAGAGAGAGTTTTGGATTTTAGAACAATTTTCTGTGCGAATATGCGTAATACTTGGTAATTTTGTTGGTCAGAATGATAGATTTATCTGATTTAGAGGTGCCACTTTCACCAAATGTACGTGTAAATTTGTGATGAAAAAAAAAATTGCTTTTGTTTATATGTTGTTTAGTAAACTTAAATAACTATTTGGTTAGCATATGTATCACTTTAATTAATTTATTTCGTAGAAACGAAAAATAATAAGAACAACGAATAACACTACTACAGAATAACTCGGGAGAAATTTCATTAAGCCGTGCCGAAAGAAATTGTCATAACATACTTGAAAAAAAGAAAAATAATAATGATGACGATCATGATGACCATGCGTGCAAAGATAATGATGATGATGATGATCTAAAAGCTCCTCCGGTATCGGTTGAAAGTAAATTGGGAAGACTCGTTGATGGTGGCGGCCGTCGAAAAGCTCAAAAGTGGATTCACCGTAGGATTACAGGAAAATCGCAGCAAAAAGATGATTCGGGCGGTGGAAGATGAGGGAGGACGGAAGGAAGGATGGATGAACTTTTTGAGCGATAGAAAAGGAGGACCAAAGGGAGGAAAAGCTTCAGCGAACCAGAACGAGAGCAAACAGCAAAGATTTTCCTCAGATTTAAAGCAGCCCCCCCCCCCCCCGACCTCTCGCCTCGATTCACATGTCAACACGGTCCTTTCGCACCGGAACATCGCCTCCCACCCCCCGCCTCATTT